CTTTGCCTGCAGTGTATGGAGTGGCAACCAGTTGTCTATGAGTCTTAAATGGCATGAAACCATGTCTCAAATAGATGAGAAGACCTATCGATATTTGGCTTGCAGGTAAAACCTAATCTAGCTTGTTCTTCAATCAAAGAGCATCTTAGTGTTTCATACAGTACGGTGCACCCAGAAAGCATTCATGCTTCACTTGTTCCACGTGTTGTTACAGCCTTATTCCAAAACGCATTAACACAATATCTCACAATGATGCAGTGAAACAAAGTTGACTGGAAATTTGTTTAAATTTGAAAAATATAAAATGGGACACTTCCACAAGTACTGAGTGTTTGTGACGGAGCTCCTGCGTCCTGTTTTCATCACCTGTCAGATGCATTACTCAAGAAAAGTGATGCAGCATGTTACTTATTTACTCACTACAGAAAGTAATTTGTTACACTACTTGTTACATTGCATTGAGATCTGAAAATGGCTGTGCACTGTTGCTCCCCATCTAAGCTGACGGAGCTGCACTGTGCGCGTCAAGCTTGTAGCATTTAACAGCTGCCAGAGGTGCTTCAGCAAAGTACTGAGCAGGCTGTACTTATGTACCAGTGTGCATCTTAGTCTTTCATTTTTTAATCAACTTGCAAAGCTTCAAGCAAACTTTTCCATTTTGTGGAGTTTAGTCTGCAGAATGTGAATGTGTAAAATAAATGGAATCCATCCATAAGACTAAGAGATGAAAAAATGTGGAACAAGTGAAGTGATGAGTTTCTCAGGTGCACTGTACAGACGTCTGTCAGTAACAATGACTGCATGGTTGTCTGTTCGCCTGTTTCAGGTTTGGAAAGGTTGAAGACCAGAAAGATGCCCTGAGACTTTACACCGTGCAGATCCCCCATAAACGAGACAGAAAACCTCCCCCGTGCTACCTCACCAAGTGGGACGGCAGGAGCTTATTGGCCATGCTGACGGCTCCCTGCGGCACGGAGGTCATCTCCAGTCTGGCTGTCAGGTAACAGCTTCATAAATGCTGACATGCAGACTGGCTGTTGTGTTTGTTGAGATGTGGTATGACTACGATGTCTAACGAGGCCCTCGTTTCTGATTTCAGACTTTTTAATCTGATTTAGTGCGACCTAAGCTCTGCTCCTACAGAGGCTGATTATCTGCTTTAATGTTGTCACGTCCTCACAGCGTGCGGCTCTGAATACTGTCGCTCCTCTGAACAAGTCTCAGACGTCCTGGCTCTAACTCACAAATACACAAGTAACTAATCAGTAAGCTGGAGAGGAAATGTCTTCTCACTAATTTAGAGCATTTTCATTTAGCCTGGAGAGTGTGTGAAAATGAGAATAGCTCCAGGTTTTTCCAGCACTGTATCCATGGCGACAAAGAGGCTCTGATGACTGCTCCTTTTTAACCTTGAATAGTAATGACTTCATCAATAAAGTTGTAACCATTACACAAAACATGACTCATAACAATCCCATAGACTTCTTACTGTATACAGCTACTTTCACTGATATTTATTATTTAGACTGTCCGAGTTTACCTGCAGAATCACTTTTAATCTTCACCCTCCGTGTTCATTTTACATCGTTCCTACAAGGCTGCTCAAAGACATCCTGCCATTAGCTCACTCTTCGATCTTTATCACTCTTTATTAATTATGTATGCATGTACATTTAGGATGGCAATAATTAAGCTATTACTCAAAAAGCATCTCTAGACCCAGCAGTCTTAGCTAATTATAGGCCAATCTCCAACCTTCCTTTATATCAAACATCCTTGAAAGAGTAGATGTCAAACAGCTAACAGATCATCTGCAGAGGTTTATTTGAAGAGTTTCAGTCAGGTTTCAGAGCTCATCACAGCACAGAAACAGCTTTAGTGAAGGTTACAAATGATCTTCTTATGGCCTCTGACAGTGATGTTTCTCCCACTGAAAACATCCAGAATCAACCTTTTGGGATCTTAATATTATACAGATTTACTAACCTTAACCCTCTAGTTGGGGGATGGACAAGGTACCTCTGGGTTCAGGCAGCAAGGATGTTGGCACTGTTCTTTAAGTCCTGTGGTTTATGTGATGGTGACTCTTGTTCTAACACGCCCTATAGTCTAAAGAGCTTGGTAAGAAAAGTGTCTGGACCTCTTTAAGTTGCTTGAAGACGTTTCACCTCTCAAGCAACTTAAGGAAGTCCAGACACTTTTCTTACAAGCTCCTTAGACTACGATGACCTGGATGACCGAGAACCTTCACAGACAACACGTCCTATAGATGTTTACATTGGATAGTGTGGAGGCACTGCTCCATCTCTGTACTGCTTTAGCCTTAGCTGTCTTTTAGACGTCCCCTTTACTCATTTTCATCACTAAACTGGACCTCTGAACTAAGATGGCACCCACAACAATGCTAAAGTCAAGGTCTTCAGTCAGCAACCATTAGCTGTGCACATCTTTTATCAAAAGTGATTAGTGTTTCTCTGAAAGCACGTTTGCGTAGCATATTGAGTTTGGAAAGGCAAGTCGGACTTGAAGCTGTTTGCTTTCTTCCTCGTAGTGACTCTGGAACATTTCTTGGCCTTGGAACTGTGACAGGATCAGTAGCAATCTACATCGCGTTCTCCCTACAGGTGACACGCTGCACTTACAGATGCATAAATCCAACAAGCAGCCATGTTTTTAACTTATAACGTGGTGTTTGTATGCAGAGGCTGTATTATGTGCATGAATCACACGGCATCGTGGTGACAGACCTGGCCTTCCTGCCTCACTCCATGAAAGGCAAGAACATCAAGGGGAACAATGAAACAGCCCTGCTGAGCGTAGCTGTGGACAGTCGCTGCCAACTACACCGTGTTGCCAGAAGAAGTAAGTCTTGCATCATCATTTATTGAACATGTCTCATAATCTCAGAGCCTGTTCATCATTTCCTGTGTTCTCTCCAGGATACTTCCCTGTTTGGCTGGTGTTGTTCTTCTGTGGTGTCCTGGTGGTGGGAGTCGTTCTCCTCCTACAGCACCTCTTTCCAGGGTTTATTTAAGTCGTACATGTTGCCACGAATGAGCATTTAATCATCTCTCTGCATCGGCGGACCTGAGTTCAGCCTTCATGCGTCCCATCACTGCACCGTTACTAAACCAAACCTGGACAGCGTTAAAGGTTTATCATCGTTTAAAAGCCGGATTTTCATTGGATTGTTTTGTGAGGACGTTGCCTTTTATTAAAAAAACGTTCACAGTGAATGATCCATTGACTTTGAGTAACTTTAAAAAAATGTTGGCAGCAGAGACATGAATGATGACAGAAGCTGCTCGTTGGTTAAACATGTTTTTGTCTGGATTCAGCTCAATATAAATAAAAATGAATCAAACTGAAATTGTTTTTCATTGGACGTCTGAATTCAGACGTTTCCTGTGCGAGCTTGTGTCGTGTTGCAGAAGAATAGCAAGTCTGGCTTTATGAACACCTGAACAGCTTCTTCAGCCTAAGGACAAAAATAAGACTTAAAAAACAACCTGATTCCATTTGGTTAAATAAAAGAATAAAAACTAATAAAAACCAATGATTTTAGCAGTTTACTTTGTGCTTCACAACAGTGACTGTTCAAGCTCTACATTTTACAGCAGTTAGTTTTAAAACCCTGAAGTTTATTTGAGCACAGTAGAAACTTGCTGTTGAACTCATCCAACAGGTAAACGTCTCAGATGACCAGACAAACCTTTGATTGTTGGGTCTTAACTTAAAGTATTGTTTCTTGAGGCGACTGTTTGGTCCTGTGTGAATAAAACTGAATAAAACAACCACATGCATAAAGGTTATTTTAATTTATAAAGACACTGGCTGTAAACAGCTGGCCTGAGACACAACAGACCAACAGGACTAATCATTAGTGATAGTATGTCTTCATCAATAAACTGCAAACTTGCCTTCTCGTTAGAGAGCTCGAGCTCTTGTTGCATTAAGCAGTAGCTTTATTTCAATGATCTTAATATTTTTTCTGCCATCAGCTGTCACGATGTTTCAGCCTCTCGCCTGGATAAGGTACCTCTGGGTTCTGGTAACAGGGATGTTGGTGCCTTTGTGGATGGGTCTGGTTGTAGCACATCCTGCAGATGTTCGCACTGGGATCTGGGTAGTGTGAAAGCTGCACCAAAAACTGCATGTACTTTAATATGCTGTTTTCCCTCTCCTTTCAAAACTGCATGCCCAAAGTATTTTCCTAGAATATTATTTGGAAAGTATTCCCAGCACTTCACTCGTCATGTTACAGCCTCACTCAAAAATGCATGAAATCTTCACATCACACACAGTGCAGAGAAGTGATTGTGTGAATATTAGACAACGCTTCAGTAGAAAGGACAGAAACAAGTATACCTGCCCAACTAAGAGTTTTCTTTCTTGTTCAAACTTCTTCCACTGATGGAGGACGCTGATGTTTGGACGCTTCAATCCTGCAGAAATATTTGTACTTATTCTCAGCATGATGTATATTTTACAGTACTGCCTAAATTCTTGATTTATGATTAAAAACCAGCTTCTATTGGTTCTTGGCTTTAAAAAATAAAATCAGTCACCTATTTAAAAAAATGCTAATGGTTGATATTTCCTACCTCTTGAGCTTCAGTAGGTGGCACTAATGTGACGGCGCAGAGCTGCTAACATGAACACTAGGGATGGGTATCGTTTAGGTTTTATCCGATACCGGTGCCAAATCGGTACTTTTGAAACGGTGCCGGTGCTTAAAGAATGAAGAACACAAACTTTGTCCAAAAACCTCTCATGTTCAGCTGGTTTTTTTGTAAAAAGATAACAATGTTAGCCTTTTCTGCAGCTATGTGGCATATAAGGCATCACTCTTGGCTGGAAGCAGTGCTTAAACAGTAGTTACCTGTTGGTCTAAACTGATGACCGGAGTGCAGAGCTCATGTCGTGGCCATTTACACCTGTCCAGGCAAACAACCTGCTGGTAACCCCGCCCCTTTTTAAAAAAACCCCAAGTACAAACGTTTGCCTCTGCTGCTTAATGGCAACATGTCCGAGTGTTATTAGATAAAATCTCAAAGACAAACATCAGCAAAAATATCAATACACACCAGCAACACCAGTGTCTGTATAAAAACACATTTGAAAAAATATGACAGATTAAACGATCTCTACATTATTTATATGCTCCCTTTACAAAGAGGAAAAATACAGCAAGCTGATACATTAATGGCACGATGCCCATCTCTTTGAACGCAGTGTTGTATCAACAATAACAAAAACTGAAAAAGAGTCCTGCTTTCAAAACGTGGACTCTCTTCATCATCATCATCATCATCAGTGCTTTCAGCGGGGGAAACGTTTCATCACCCATCCAGCTGACTTTGGTTTCAGCTTTCAGGGAGGAGCCTAAAAGAAGGTTTAAATGACAAAATCTTATTGAATACAGTTATAGCGGCGCCATGACAACGTAGGACAAATCTGTCAAAGGAGGCGCCGCCTGTAAGAGGACATGGAGTCTACATGTTTACAGACTTGTTCCATGTTTCAAACTTTGTTTCGTGGTTGGGCTTTTGATACTTTGTGCAGTTGGTTGCTGTGTTGGCTTGTTGAGTCATCTAAGAAATAAATGGCAAATGATTACGACTATTTTTGGTCATGTAATTATAAAACCAAAGGTATCAAAAAGCGTTCACTGTTATTGGCCCAGGTATCAAACAGTTACACAATACTGGCCCAAAGAGTAAACGAACGATGAAGGCCTGAGACGGCACAAAAACAAAACGTGATTCCATATATTGTGATAATGTTTATGATGCACTTTGATATATAATCTCAACACAATGTGTGTTGGTATGTGTTTTCAGTACAAAACGTATCTTCTAAATAATGTTTTAATCCTAAATAAATATCTGCATGAAAAACAGTCCATTGAAATACATGATTTGCATAAATCACCTAAAAATGAAATGCTGGGTGCTGGTTTAGCTCAGTGGGATGAGGAGGCGACCACATGCTGCAGGTTCTCCCTCTGCACTCCTGTCAGTCTCTGCTGTGTCTCCAATGAAAGCTGAAAAATGAAATCCTGGCACAGGCGTGAAGGGAGATCTGGACCTGTTTAAGGATTTTCCCTGTTCATCCAGCAGAAGAAGCAGCTGACTGCAAAAGGGTCGTCTGTGGAGGAGGAAGGAGGTGGAGGCTGGAGACGGTCAAACCTGCAGACACTGCTCAGGCCATGGTATAGCCATAGCTCCCACAGTGCAAAGCCACCAGCAGGCGGTCCCTCAGGACCTCCTTGCTTGGGTATTCTGGAAGTTTCAGCATGTTGATACTGTGGAGGGGGTAAAGGCGCCATGACCAACACAGCAGGGGAACAGCTCATTCTTTACCAAAACAACTGCAGCTATATTAATGACCTGTATGCTTGGTTTGAAACTTTCTAAGAAAGAAATGATTTTATGTACTTTTCCCAGTATTTATTATATTTATATGTAATTTCTCTCTATTGGAAAATGAAGGGGGGGATTAGCAAATGATAGCAGGATGGAAAAAAGAGATCTGTTTCTAATTACCAGGTACTCGAGGTAGGCAGCAGGTTGGAGGTGTACGGGACTGCAGCAATAGTGAATTTCTGTAAACCGCTCCCACCCATCAGGTAGGCAAATCCTCCATGAGGAACCCTGGAACTGGACGAGGATTATATTAGCACCATTCCCTTTAAAAGGCATTTACACGTTTCTATATTTAAAAAAACTGTAGAAGGAATCGAGCTGACAAACCTTCCCGTGACAAACTGAAGCAAGAGAACCCTCTCCTCCTGGGTCAGGCCCGTCACCACGTCCCAGAACCACTAGGGGGGAGGAAAGCTAATTAGCTGGCAGCTAAAGGACATCCTCATATTACTGACAATGACGAACTTCACTCTGTCTTTTCCTACGGAGCCATGAAGTAAACGTTTCCCTATAATCAGTGCTGTGTTCAAAATTAAGCAGAGCGTGACAAATACATGCGACGTGTAAACTCCATGTCAGCTTCACGTATTGTAGAGTAAAATTTTAATGTGAGAGGAAATCAGAGCAGGTGAAGAGATTCTCTGGTGAAAATTAGGAAACACTCGGCTTAAAGTGCAGTCACAGGCACAGACTCAGTGTTTTTCAGGAATTTCAAAAGTTATTTTTTATAGTTTTGCATTATTGAGTTCTTTTGCAATTCTTTACAAAGTACTCAACGAAAATGTGAAGGTGTCTCTGGTTGACTCAGGTCTTGTGTTCAAGGATTTGGTTCTTATGTGGTAGCAGAGGGGCCCACCTGGATGACTGGCTCCTGAGTGTCGTATCCACTGGTGTACTCAGTGTTCCTACACCAGTCCTGCACATCAATCTCGGGCATCCCTGATAGTAGGAGCTCCTGTATGTGTGCACGTACACGCAGCGATGCAGCGACGTGCACACAGAGAGAAAAGAAAAGATACTAACTGAGACGAACACAACAGGAGAGCACAGAGCTCCTCCCACAGTTCAATGGTTGGTTGAGCAATACACTCACACATGCTCACTAGGGCTGCCACGATTAGTCACTAGTCACGATTACGTTGACTATCAAAATCGTCGACGACTGATTTAATAGTCTTCATTAGGCCTTCATTTCCCCAGATTTGAAGGATGGATCGGGTGTATACTTCGTGGCCCAACCTATCCCAGAATTCATAGCGCGGCCCAGCTCAGTTTCCAGCAATGGCGGCAGCTAGTTAGTTTTAACTTTACTCTTATTATTCTTTCTGGGTCACAAAATAAACGTTTAACATATTTTCAGGCGGGAATGTAGCTGTGTAAACCTCAAATATCTGCTCAGTTTATCAAGACACCGCATATTTTCAAAAGCGCTCCGACGTTTTCGGAGACGTCTGTTACCCACTAGCTCGTTAGCGAGCCGGGGGCAAGGTCACTAGAGCCGTGAGAACACCGGACTCCCGGCAAATCGTTTTCAAACCCACCGCCGTCTTTCGCTGCTCAGGTTAAACATGATATATGAGTCACTTAGATAACTTAAAAATGTTATTTGTAATATGTAATGTTATATTTTTTTTAGTATTTTATTTGTTCCTGACTAAATCTCTTTGGCTGAGATTAAAGTTTTTACACAGCTGAATAAACGTCAAGCAGACAGCTGATTATCAGAAGTGTGAGATGCTCAGAATTTACTCCGGTGTCCTGTTATATTTTAGATAGCAAGGAGTTTATTAAACTTCAAACAATCTGCAGATTTCATTAAAATTTAATAAACTATCATCTTGTCTTTATTTTTAGTGAGCACCTGAAACACTTAAAGCTGTAAGCTAATGATAGTTATATAAGAGCAGATGCTGCTGGTGCAAGAAGCTGAACGCTGTACGTCCAATGGATGATGATCTGATTAGTTGTCTATCAAAACAATCGCTTGTGGCAGCCCTGATACTCACACACTGCAGTGTGAGTATGTGTGACTATGGCCATTTTACCAAACCCAAAGAAAAAAAAGTGTACCTGGAAGCAACACAGCACCTCCACACAGGAAGGCCCCAGCTGGATGGTGGATTTCATGCTGTTAAACCAAGCAGCCTAAAACCTCATGGTGTTGAGGTCTGAATGTGGTGCCAGTAAGGAAAGAACAAGGATAAAACTAACAAGAAGAGTAACTTGAGGAGGAGGACTAACCAGTTCATATTCGTCAAAGAGCTGAATGAGCGAGGCGGGGATGAAGGTGTGGAATCCCTGCAGGAATGCATTTATCTGAGGCTGGATGGCTCGAGTCATCCTCAGCTCTGTCACTAGCTGCACATACTCGGCCTAACAGAAGAGGCACACAAAGACACCAAGCCTGAAGAGATGCCGACTGACAGAAATGGAAAAGACAGAGTTTATACATACATGTCATTTTTAGCACTCTGCTTTAAGCAACAGCAACAGGGAACACTGAGGCACAAATAGCTGACATACAGTGTTACGCTTCATCCCTTCACCAACCAAATAAGTTCCTGCATTCCACTGACACTGGGACACGTCAGACTGTATTTGTGATGACTGACCTTGTTGTCCTGGGTGACCAGGATGCTGGTCCCTCCGGGTTTTAGTGGCACTTCCTCCATCGCTCCGAACACATCAGTCTCTACTGAGAAGGTGAGCTCCAGGCCCAGATCGCTGATGTCATTGTCCAAGATCCACTGCAGATTCTTAGCATACTCTGGATCGATAGAAGACACGTCCTGGTAATTCACAGGGATACCTGTGAAACGCACAAGACAAGACGTCACCACACAACGTAGCACTAGAAACAAAAACACTGGAGCCAAGGAGGTGATATAATCAGACATTTAAAAAAAAGTCATATTACACTATAAAATATGGGGAATTTGGACGCCATGTCAACACCTCATCCTCATTGTGCTCCTCATCCTGCTGAAAGAGGGCCCGACAATCAGGGAGTGCATGGTCTGCACCAGTGGTTGTGTAGATGGTACATCGCCTGAGGCATCACACTGCCTCTGCTGGCTTGCTGTTTTCCCATAGTGCATTCTGACACCAGATGTTCCCTCAGGTGGGCAACGTAAAAGAAAACATGATTCATCGGATTAAGCCACTTTCTTCCATTGCTCCAGTTATGATGCTCATGTGGCCATTATTAGCATTTTTAGCGGTAGACACGGCTCAGCAGGAACAACCCTGACTGGTCTGCAGCCATGCAGCCCCATGTGCAACAAAAAGTGATTCACTGTGTATCCTGACACCTTTGCATCAGAACCAGCATTAAAACAGTACCTTATTTGTTGGATCGGAGCCTACAGGCATCACTCCCCACACGAATCAGTGTGCCTTGTCTGCCCATGGCCTTGCACTGGTTCTTTTGCTCGATGTTTCACTATGGGAATGACCTTGGCATGATCAGCTCCAGTGACATCGTGTGTCCATGACAGATCTGTTGAGATGTGGTCAGGGCTCCGCCCCATCATTCTAGCATGGCCAACCAGACGTGTTAGCTGGACTGTGCTTAATATGTCCTCAAAAGAAATGAACTCATAGTTACATTCTGTAGAACAGCAATCACATCGAAGAAAGCTGTTCCAGCAGTTTCCTGGTTTTAGTTAGCAGCGTACCCAACGTTTGTGTAACTCGGGCTAACGCATTATGGCAAGCCTTTTTAGTGTCTAGCTAGCATCAGCTTGTTAGTAGGCCACAAACCATGCTAGTGTCACACCACATTAGATGGTTAGCCGATTCTAGGGTTTGGCTAGCATTAGATTTGTCACTACCCGATCCGTACCGGAAACCCGATCAGTACCACGTATGTGCAAATCTTACGTCTCTTCTGCGCTGGCTAGTAGAACTCAGCTAACGTGTCATGTTGATTCTCACAGCAACTAGCTCGGCCTTAACCCCAGCTGCTAGTGTTTGCTACAAACAAGCAACCCTGGTGTGGCTTAGTTTCACCCCTTTCTGTTACCATGACTACGGCTCCTACCCACGCTGGTCAGACTGAAGGCCAAAGAGGCGTCATCCCACCCGTCCATTATGTGGTGCCCCGATTAAGAGCAGGGACACTCACCTGTGTACATTTGTAATGGCACTAAACATGGCCAGGCTTCTCTGGCGGACCCTCGAGGCTGCCCCCACTGTGCTGAGATGCCACAGAAGGTCTTGGAATGGAGGTTGAGAGTAGCAGGGACTAACTGACAGGGTGCCTGCTTGCCAGCTGCTACTGCTGCAGGTGATACGCATCATCTACGAGCCACCACGAGCTGGGCAGACATGATTGAGAAAGATCCCCCCCACTCTCCTAACATTTGAGGTCCTCCTGGATCAAAACATGGCTGAGCTGGGTGGTAAGGACACAGAGAGTGATGCCAACTCCAACCTCATCAACCTAGGGAACATGGAGGAGGAGGACTCCACGTTCCCTGCAGAGCAGTGCAGATCACCAAATGGGGCAGAAGTTGCACCCCCAGTAGACACCAACTTGTATGAGGTCTGAATACCTAGTTGCCAAGCTAGTAGTCCCATGGCCAGCAGCCTAAGATATTTAAAGGGGAAAACACAACCTGTGTGGTGGCAAGAGCCTTCCACCAGCAAAGAAGCTTCTACCAGCAGTCCCAGTTGGCATGAGAGAAATGAGGCACTTCTGTTCAACCCATTTTAAGAGCAAGCTTCTGACCCAGGGGTGCTGGGTCACAAGCTGGATATCCAAGAGATGGGTGAGCTCCGGTTGACCAAACCCAGGGCGGCAAGGCAATCTCAGCTTCTTCTAACATATCTCTGCCCAGGAAGACAGATCGCCTCAACACATTCTTCCTATCAAAGGATGCACAGGTATATATGTAAGGATAAGCGAGTTTGGTGTGGAATAACTTGACTGGTCTACACAGGCCAATCCACAGAGTCCTGACCTCGACCTGACAGAACACCTTTGGGATACGTTGGAGACTGCGAGCCAGGCCTGCTCATCTAACATCTGTGTGTGACCTTACAAATATGCTTCTGGATCAAAAATTCCCATAGACCTCATGGAAAGCCTTCCCAAGAGTTGAAGCTGTTATAACTGCAAAGAGTGAACCGACTGTATGTGAAATCCTATGGATTACAAATGGGATGCCACTCAGGTTCATATGCATGTTAAGGCAGATGAGCTAATATTTTTGTCAATACATTAAATTAAAGGCGTGGGACATATTAAAGTGTTTCTGGATATTATCACTTACAGTCTAATTTTTCCACAGATCCTGGAGAAACATTGAAGGGACTTTCTCATCAGTCTGGTGTTTGGTGCAAAACTCAAACTTTATTACTTAAAGGTAGGTAACATCAGGTATTAGCAACCAAAGTTTCTTACCGAGTATGTGTTTGTAGAATGAGCGTGTGAAGTAGATGTTGACCAGCTGCCGGTGGTACAGAGCGAGACCCAGAATCTGACCTGCGAATCGAAAGTAGTTCAGATGGTCTGGGTTCACTGATGAGTTGCTGTTGGGTTGAAACGTTGTACCTGTGGATCATAGACACAATTTGTGATAAACAGGTGTGTGTGTGTGTACGGTAAGTACACTTTGTTTGTTTCAGCGTCTTAGAGAGACTCATCCTGAGACACTTGCGTCTGCTGGTGGAGCCCTGGCTGGACCCCCTGCAGTTTGCTTATCAACCCGTATCGTGTGGAGGATGCCATCATCTACCTGCTGGACCAGGCTTATTCTCACCTGGACATTGTTGGGAGCACTGGGAGGGTCATGTTCTTTGACTTCTCCAGTGCTTTTAACACAATCAGACCATCACTGCTGGGGAATAAGCTCATGGAAATGCAGGTGGACGCCCCACTGGTAGGTTGGATCATGGACTATTTAACAAGTCGACCACAGTATGTTTGACTGAAGGGCTGCCACTCAGATAACATCCCGAGCAGCACGGGGGCGCCGCAGGGGATGGTCCTATCACCCTCCCTCTTCACCCTCTACACGTCTGACTTCAGGTACAAGTCACAGTCATGTCATCTGCAGAAACTCTCTGATGACTCAGCCATTGTGGGCTGTATCAGACGGACAGGAGGAGGAGTGCAGAAGTGTGGTGGACAGCTTTGTTGAGTGGTGTGAGCTTAACCATCTACAACTTAACATCACAAAGACAAAGGAACTGATCATGGACTTTAGGAAGCAGGCTCCTCCTCCTACCCCTGTCACTATCAGAGGGGCTGATGTGGAGATCGTGGAGGACTACCGGTACCTGCGGTAAACACTGTAAACTGGACTGGACCAAGAACACCAATGCTGTCTTTAAAAAAGGGCAGAGTCGGCTTTTCCTGCTGAGGCGGCTCAGGTCCTTCAATGTTTGTAGGAAAATGCTGACCATGTTTATCACTCTGTGGTGGAGAGCGCTGTGTTCTTTGCAGCTGTGTGCTGGGGCAGGGCGGTGAAGACAGCCGATGCCAACAGGCTGAACAAGCTGGTTAAACGGGCTGGGTGTCAGACTGGAGAACCTGGAGGAGGTGTCTGAGAGGAGAATGCTAAAAAAGCTTCTTTGTATCATGGACAACCCCTCCCACCACATGCACGCCTCCATGATGGACCATCGGAGCACACGCAGCAGAAGACTCATTGCCCCGAAATGCAGAACTGACCGCCACAGGAAATCCTTTGTGCCGGTGGCAATAAAACTGTACAACTCCTGAGGATTAATAACAAAGCTATTCTGTTCCCATTCAGACCGTGCAATATCACCAACAGTTGTTTCATGTATTTATTCATTTGCACAACACTATGTCACTTTTAGAATCACCTGCACTGATAGCTAAGCTATTTATTTTTCAGGATACAGTTATATTGTTACTTTGTTACAGTTATTTGATCTTATATTTTGCACTATCCTACTGTATATTACTGTATACTAGTATTCTTATTGTATATATTGTATATCTTATTCCTCTGCTCCTCTGTCTCTCTTGCTGCATTGAGCATGTGTATGACAAAAGAATTTCCCTCGGGATAAATAAAGTTCTTCTTATCTAATCTCATCTCTCTGGCATTTATTCTCTCCTCTCTCTCTCTAACACAGTGCTCTTGCACAGCATGACTTTCATGACTTAATGCATTTTGTAGATTAACTTGGGAAGCAGTCGTGCATTTTCCTCTTACAAATTTGTAAATTATGATTCTACAGAGGCAGTCGCCATTGAGCAAGTATTGGGGAGCCATGCTAGTTCCTAAGTGCGACTAAACTGTGCCTCATCTTGTCAAGCACGTCAGTACAAAATGATCTTAATAGCAAGCAGTGGTCACACAAACATGGCATGAGCTCATTCTGTGGATCACTCTGTACACCTGAACTCTTGTGATTTAAAGGAAAAATGCCACGTACCATCAGCTGACTGAGTGAACAGAGCGTAGTCTGGGTTGATGATCTCATTGGATAGAATGTCAAACCACTCCCGAACTACACCTTGGCCCTGAAACACACACACACACACACAGACACACACACACAGACACACACACGCACAGTACTCTGCGTCTTTAATACAAACTACAATACTACTGTTTATACTGTTAACAGCTGAACTGCAGACAACTCACCATACCCTCCTCGCCATGGAAACGAACAGCAATGCCTTGTTTGAGTTTTTCATTGGTGGACTTTGACACCATCTCACAGCTACTCCTAAATATGGAATCTGATGGTGATATGGGGAAATACAATTTATATTTTGTCGAACAAACGTTTTCATACAGATCTTCGGTTTTATGACGGTTGAATGTTATTTATTAGGGTCTTCTTGTCATTTCCCATTCAGCTGGTGCACATTTTGGACCAGTTTGTTCGACCAATGGTATTTTGAACCTTCAATGGCCCAACTGCTTTGGGCAGACCTGCTGTATGTTTCCACGTTTGTTTCTGTGTTACGACACTAGTAGACAGAGTTTATTAGATACTTTGTTACCTTTTATCATGTTACTTTAGGTTTTACACCATACAACACCTTCAACTTGCCAACAACCCTCACATGGCTACATTCACAATCTCATTCCGTATGCATAACCCTGCAAATGACATCAGCGACTGGACACGAGCAGCTTAAGTGTGTCTGTACCTCTGTGGATGAGCAGCACATCATTCTCATTGACTGGACGATGAACCATGTCAGAATCCGGCTGGCCGGCCAACAGATGCTCGTAGAACCACTCACACCGATCCTTAAAGGGCTGACGGGAAGACAAGACTTTATTTCACACTGCACAGCACTTTCTCAAACTAATTATCACTTGGCTGTGTTTTCAATTTTAAGGTTGGGGAATTTTTCAATCCGAGTTGATTCCTCAGGAAGTGTTTTGTGCTGAAACGCTCATCTGTAATTCAGAGCCAAGGCCATTTCCATAATATATGCCTTTATTCTCCAAGCACCGAGGAGTGAAAGATAGAGTGCACTGAGAGAGGAATAAGGAAGCCTGTAATTAAAACAAGGACCTACTCCCAGGTGAGCTATGATCCATGGACTTTCATGCTGCAGCTCAAATATAAATACTAAAGATAGGATAATTAATATAACTCAGAACAGCCATTAAAAATTAATGAAGCTGAATAAACTTTTCTTAAGACAAGTGTTCTCGCCGTGAAAGGAACACTTGATCATGAAATGACATGGGGTCACTCAAAGTCTCACAGGACTACAAGATAAATAAGGTTTAAATCCATCGGCCGGGCGGGACCTTTCTGTTGGCGTTTGTACATCCTGCCCTTGGTCTGAGTGTGTTCTCTCAAGGTTCTCCAGCTTCCTCCCACAGATCACAGAAGTCCACTTTAGGTTGAGTGGTAGTTCTAAATTGGCTGCAGGTTTGCGTACGAATAGCAGTCTGATACAAAAAAAGTCAGGTACAAAAAGTCAAATGTGAAGACGGACTCTTCAAAATAAGCAGCATGGTAAAATAAAGTTATTTGGCTAAAGAAAACAAAATTGTCAGTGTTTTTCTAAATAATATCACACTGATCCAACTTTGAAACAGTTTGCTTAGCACTGACTTTAACCACGAGTTATCTGTCATTCAACTTTTATTGTTTCATTTATATCAGAATAACAAGCAGGCTGGCTACAAAGATCATTTTCTTCTTCTTTTTCAAGCACCTTAAAGGATCTGTTGTCAACAAGTTTTGACAGTGTCTTCTAAGCCTAATGATGGTACGCTAATGAAGTCAGGAGACTCAGAGAGTAGGCCTGGCTCACAACCTCTGCTGTAACTAATCACAAAGCTGTTCTATGGGGTTGAGGTTAGGACTCTGTGCGACCAGTCAAGTTCTTACAAACAAACAAACCTGCTCATCCATGTCTTTATGGACTTTGCTTTGTACACTGGAGTGAGTGATTCAAAAGACCTCTATGAGAGAAAAACGTAGGGAACAGTTCGTCCTGCCCAGGATAGGGTTACCAGGGAGCCTTCCAGGAGCAGGGCATGGGGAGGGTGCCTGAGGACGGGCAACTGGTGGCCAGGCCTTAGCCCATGGGGCTTCGCTGGGCATAGCCTGAAAAAGGGCATGGGCCCATCCACCTGTAGGTCCACCACCCGCAGGGGGTGCAGTAGGGGTAGGCTGCAATGTGTGCAGCAGCCAAGGGTGGAGACCCTGGTGGACTGATCCCCAGAGTTGCCTTTGGTGAGAGGTGATGGGCAAGGGTGGGTATCTGTAGTATCCCCTCGGCTTGCTGCCTGTATGTTAGGGTTTTGCCCAGTGGACAAGTGGGTTTGTTCCCTGTGCCTTTGGGTCGGGGAACGGGTCCTGACTGTTGTCTGTGCTTATAGACCAAACAGTTCAGAGTACCCGGTCTTCTTGAACCCCCTCGTTAGGGTGCTTGAGGGTGCTGCACCTGGGGAATCCGTATCTTACTGGGAGACTTAAACGCTCATATTAGCAACAGAGAACTGAAGAGGGGGTGAGTGGGAGGAATGGTCTGCTAGATCTGAACCCGAGCGGTGTTCTCAAACGACAGTTTGTCTATAACAAACCCCATGTTAGAACACAGGGGTGTCCATAAGTGCATGTGGCACCAGGACACCCAAGGTTGCAATCGAGGTTGTAATCGTATCAACAGATCTGCGGCTGTATGTTTGAGAAACTCAGGTACAGAGAGGGGCTGAGCTGTCAACTGATCGCCACCTTGTGGTGAGGTGGGTCAGTAGCGGGGGAGGGCGCTGGACAGACCTGGGACACCTAAACGTATAGTGAGGGTGTGCTGGGAACACATGGAAGAGGCCCACGAGCTCGTTCACAGAGCTTCGACAGCATTCTGAGGGAGACTGGGGACACTGAGTCCAAACGGCCCATCCTCAGCACCTCCATTGCTGAAGCTGTTGCACTGAGCTGCAGCTGCAAGGTGGTTGGTGCCTGTGATGGTGGTAACCCCGAACCAGATGGTGGCTGAAGCAAAACCCGGGTGTGGGAAGAGTTCAGAGAGGCCATGGAAAAAGTTTTTTGAACTTCCTTAATGAGTTTGTGGCAAACCTTTAAGCGACTGAGGAGGTAAAGGTGGTGCTCTGACTGCAATGAGTGTAGTGTGGGTGGAGCGCTGCTGACTTCAACTGAGGATATTATCGGGCAGTAGAAGGAATACTTTGAGGATCTCTTCAATCCCACTGACACACCTACTGTAGAGGAAGCAGAGTCTGTGGATGAGGGGGATGACTCGTCTATCACAGGGGGCGAGGTCACTGAGGCAGTTAAACAACTTGTTGGTGGCAGAGCCCCTGTGGGAGGATTGCCCTGAATCCCTGAAGGCTCTGGATGTTGTAGGGCTGTCTTGTTTGTATGTTGTAGAGGCATGAATGCCTCTGCTGCTGCCCCTAATACCCAGCCTCAGATAAGCAGAAGAAGGTGGATGGATAACTTATAGATTAATTAATAAATGTGGGATCAAGAATGGGTGGTAGGGTCGTCAGTGGGGTGAGAATCACAAAATACTGGTGATAATGAACTAAAAAATGTCAGGAAGTGTTACCACCTGACCGAGAACTCCGGGGCTTTGCCATGGAGAAAATGAAAATCAGAGCTGATATAGAAGAAGAGATGCAGGTCTGCAGGTTTGCACCATGGGAAGTCGGATGAATGTTCCAAAGACAAATCTTTTGAATACTAGTACTGCTGTACTTATTCTTAGGGACACTATAGGACACACTATAGGAAGGAAGAGAAACTATTCAGCAGAAATAAAGGGCGGTTTTATTAGCTCATCAAAATTATTTAAGCTGTTTACAGACACTGAGCTGCACCACTGCCTCTGTAGGCAGAAGTGGGGCTAATGATGGCTGCCTTTATCTTTCCAGGCAGCTCTCTTTCTCTCTTGTACATAATAGGTAGTCATATATTTATTCGATTATGTCTTACCTGGCCTTTAATGATATGCATGAAGCGTGACATCAGCTCTGGACATTCAAGGAGAAAGTGGAAGTGGTTAAAGATGATCTTTGGATTTCTAAGGAGGAGGTCCAGACGGAAATATAAGGGGAAAAATGAGAGAACAAGGAAATGAGAGTGGAAATCAATTCAGAGAAAATACGTTTCTGGATCAATTCATACTTTCTAATGTTTATGTTAAAGAGCCATGTTGACTCACCTGATAACGAAACACTTGAGCACATCATCATTGTTGCAGACAAACTCAATGAAGCGGGGTGATGTCATTCTGGGTGTGGAAACAGAGAGAGGTCAGAAGGTACGAGAAACAGAAACCAGAGAAAAGACAGAGCAAACTGAAATGGGCAACAGCTCACTTCATGTCAATAACAGTCCACATTTCCTTGTTAATTAAGCATCTTTATAGATCTAATCCATAAATGTCCACTAATAGTGTGGATGGGATGAAGCATGGCTGCTTCCAGTGGAATCTGCCTCAGATCAGTCAGTCTGACCTGACATGAATGTGAAATATTTCATTTCGTTTTAAAAAGGAAGGTTTGGGGGAGCTATGTCTTCTGAATTCAATCTGGGAGCTGGTTTCACAGAGGAACCACAGCCTGATGGCTGAAGGGTTTCCTCACAATCTAAAGTTTTGACCTGTGTTTTGACTTACAGATAGATATTTGGTTCATAGTTTGCTATGGGTGCCTGCTTCAGTCCTTAAAGAATCAGTCAGTTTTTCCATGGAGTGTATTTCTTCTGATCTATACAGCCGTGATCTGTCCTCGGAGGATCACATTTATCCTCATTACGGCTTTGTTACTTACAATAGTAAAATTCTGAAGCGATGTATATCTTTAGGTTGGGTAAAAAACATCATTCTAGGTTTTGCAGGGATATCACAACCAAATATGTCCTTGAAAATTAAGAGAACTTTATCCCAGAATGATTGCAGATTTATATACAACCATTAATATGATTGGAATTTGGTATCCGTATGGTCTCCAGGGGTTTACTTTTTACATGTGAAGTAATAACGAAACTGATTAGATTGTTTCCTGATTAAAGTATCTTCATCTTTTAGAGCTGTTTGGAGATTTCCAGTCACTTCCCGACAGTTTCAAGCTCAGTTCTCTTTCCCATTTGAAAACATTTGATCATTACACATTAGCCGCATTAGCAGTAGTTGGATGTAGCAGTAGTATTGTAACAGAACTACCACAGTAATAACTGATGAATGATAAGAAGAAAACTGAACACTCTGGATTGTATAGCTGCAGGTCTATTTGATTAAAACTGATATTTAACAGTCTCTATGTCAGCAGATGGCCCCGCCCCTCCCTGAGCCTGGTTCTGCCGGAGGTTTCTTCCTGTTAAAAGGCAGTTTTTCCTTCCCACTGTTGCCAAAGTGCTTGCTCATAGGGGGTCATATGATTGTTGGGTTTTTCTCTGTATCTATGAAGCACCTTGAGGCGACTTATGTTGTGATTTGGCGCTATATAAATAAAATTGAATTGAATTGAATTGAAATGATGCCATCTGATGTTTACTACCATTGGATCTGACAGAGGGATGCAGAGCTCATACCCTTGGGGCATCTGACAGGAGCAACACATGTAGAAAGCCTGGATAACAGCACTGAGTCGACTGGCTGTCATGGAGATGACGTCCTCCCCGTCAGCATACGCCTCTGATTCGATGACAATCTGATGATCCAGCAAGGAGGGAAGCTTTGGCGTGGACCCATCATGTTCTGACTCACGCTGTTTCAGAAGCAGAGAGGCTATATCGCTGCTGGAGGAGGAAGATGGGTTCTTCCTATTCCTTTCCAGCTCTGTAGAGATGAGCACCAGCCACTCATCCAGGGAGTGCCATAGTAGCTCCAGAGGCTGCAGGGTGACAGACAAGGGACAAGAGGCTTGAGGAGGGAAACAGAGGATGTCTGCAAGTAGGGCTGGGCGATATGGCCTAAAATCCATATTGCGGTATAATTTGAAGCATGTGCGGTAACGATATATATCGTGATATATTCTTTTCCTCTGTATAACGTATTTTACACACTATAAGGTGCACTTAAAATCCTTTAATTTTCTCAAAAATCGACAGTTCGCCTTATGTATGAATTCTGGTTGTGCATACTGACCTCGAACCAATTTTATGTGGTACACGGCGCTCAGAAATCTGAGTGTTTTAGTACGACTTTGGTAAGCTATGAAGCCGCAGCACTTGATGGATTGTCAGAGCGTTAAGGCTACCGTAGTCAGGAGCCTCGCGGAGGAATCTGGGTCCTAAACTCTGTCTGTTTCAGGTCCCAAAGTCAACCGAACACTGCAGCATCACTGAGAGTTAAAAACTGTCTAAATTCTTTCATCTTTAATAAAACAATCAGCATTGCTGCTTTACCAGGTGTAACAATTAATAAATTATGTTTTCATGAATGCCTGGATGTTAAACTTAAATTTAACGGAGTTAGAAGTTAGCAGGAAGTTAGCTCGCTAGTTTCCACCTAAACATGATATAGCATGTTCTGACTGAGAGATTTCTGAAAAAATTCAAACGTACAGCTCTGCTATCACTTCCAACATAAATGAAGACAGGAAACTAAACAGCAGTGACGTTTGTAGGGTTACTGAAGTTGGGCTAGCTGGTATATAATGATGTGCTACTTGACTACTAGCAACACAGCTATGTTAGCATAACTGTTAGGTTGATTTTGATAATAGCTGCCATTATTGTACTTAAATTTGTAAACCTTGCCTTAAACTGCATGTTTAGATATTATTCTGTTCCTCCCCTACGCATCTAGGGTGTGGGGGAGGTAATTAGTTATAGTGTTTAACTGCAGGCACATCCTATGTAAAGGTTCTGTGTCCTTATTTAGTGAGGATGTTTACTTCTTGCCATTTAGGGGCTCGCCTGTGCTTGTATATGGTGAACTATTAAAGTTAAGCCATGTACAGGGTGAGGGGAGGACGTTCACTCCTTTCTGGTGTTCTGGCATACCTCATATACATCTTAAGTTCATGGGAAGGTTGCATCTTGTCTTGTGATATATGGAGTGTATTCCTTTGCAGACAGCATAGTGTAATATCGTTAGGCCTGGCTGAGCAGGTTTCACAGGGTCATATTTTGACCCACACACAACGACAGGCTATACTCTGTTCTGTCACAGTACGGCTGTGTGCAGGCAAAAGTAGGACCCAAACGCAAACTCACAGAAACAAAAGGTAAACTCAAAAAACACAGCTTTATTGCTGGCGTGGAGTGGGACACGAAAAACAATACAAAATAAACTAAACTGGGAAAACTAAAGCACAAGGAGCCACAGGGAAAAACCACACAGCTATGATGGAGACTACGACACTGACAAAGAGAAGCACAGGGCTTAAATACACAGAGGGATAACGAGGGAATGAGACACAGAAGGAGGGCACAGCTGGGAGAAATCAGGACTGGACGAGACAGAGACGCAAAACTAGAAACACTCACATGAGGCATGGACCTTCAAAGTAAAACAGGAAGTATCACACAGAGACGCGAACTAGACACAGTGGAGACAGCAACTAAGAAACCGAGACAAACCATAAGGCAGAGGTCTAAGAACCAAAATACACAGAGGGAAATACTCAGCTTTGAACACAAGAGACTAGACTAGAGGGAGTAACAAAAGACCAACCATGAGATCATAATGCACAATGCAGGGTGACAGAAAACAAGAAACTCAAACATGCAAAGACACACCATAAACAGAACAGAGGGGGCACAGAGAGACATGAAGGGCAGGGGAGACTTAACATGGGTTGAAACACAAGGGGGAACTAATAAGCAAATCAACATAGGAGGCCCAATGAGCTAAACATACTATAAACATCAAAATGAACTAAAACTCAAAACACTGGGTCCTAAGACCCAGGATTGTGACATGTTCACACAAATGCCTGTTTAAGATGTCACGTATTGATGAAACTACGCATACTCATGTAACCACAATAAAAGGAGCGCTATGGGAAGTCCGGCTGAGAGTTTGACAGGGTTCAAGTGAAAGGAACAGCGCTTAACCTCAGTTGGCCTCCCTCGCGCGAGAACACACAAAGAGCTCTGTCTTGTGTCTTGTTTTGCTGCTGCAATTGGTTGTCTAAATTGTTCCAGCAGGGTTTGTACTTAGATAAACCCAACAATAACCTTAGCACAGTGAAGTTGGAGGATGAATGCTAACTTTTTTCCACTCGATAAAAGTTAACATGAGGGTTCCCGATGGTTAGGGACAAATGCAATCGCATGGCAGGATGCTGTAAACGGACCAAACTTCAGTCAGGAGAACAACTGAGATATTCCATCCACAATACGAGGTTAGTCATTAATATACTGCAACAACATGGGAATACAGCAGCTGCCAGAGGATTCAGCATTAATGAATCAATGGTACGGAAGTGGAGGAAGCGCAGTTTTTAGCTTTCCCCATATTCCAAAAGTGCTTTGTCTCTTTGCTATTATGGCATCATTTGCAGATGACCTCGCTTGCAGCTGCTGCCATGCCTTTGACCAAAACAGGCGCAGCTTGATGACACCATCAACATGCGCTATCGCGGTAGAGCGGTATAGTCAAAATCTCTAAATTTCTATCATTTCTACCGTATACCGTTTCTACCGCCCACCCCTACCTGCGGGTTCTATAAAGCTTAATTCAAGACTTCAGCTAGCTCAGACCAAATTAACAGAAAGCTGAAATGATCCAAATTACATTTATCCACCTGTGCATAATCCATGAACGTTATAACTCTACTACATGTTAAAGGAAAGAGACGGAGACTGAAACGACATTAAGATGACTCTGTAGATTTTACTCTAATTAGGTATAATCAGCTGGTTCAGTCCGACTGATGGCCTATAAAAAGTTGTCTCATTATCAGGTTGTCATACAAGAAGCATCTCATGATGGGTTAAACCAGCGAGATCTCTCAAGACCTTTGCAACCTTATTGTTACAGAACATACTGATGGCATCGGTTATAGTAGATTTTATAATAAACTATTGACGGTTCCAGTGAGCACTGCTGAGGCCATAATCTTTAAGTGGAACAAACGTCATTTCACAATAAACAGGCCATGACCAGGTACCCCCTGCAAGATTTCAGACAGAGGAGTGAAAAGAAGAGTGAGAAGAGTTGTCCAAGAGTCAATAACAACTTGTGGGGAGCTACAGAAAGACGGGGAATCAGCAGGTACAGTTGTTTCAAAGCACATTTAAGGTTTGCTGAACAACATTTAGACAAGCCTGTGACATACTGGGAGAATATAGTCTGGTCAGATGAGACCAAAATTGAACTCTCTGGATGACCCATGTTTGGAGGTCAAAAGGCACTGCATATCACCCCAAAACACCATAGCAACAGTGAGGTTTGGAGGTGGGAACATCATGGTGTGGGGCTGTTTGGCAGGATATGGCACCCTCATGCTTTATCTAACTGAAGGAAGAATAAATGGGGAAAATGTACCAAAATTTGCTGCCATTTACCAGGATGAAGAGATTCAATGAGGCTGGACCTTTCAGCAAGACAGTGATCCAAACGCACATCCAAGAAGACTTTCAGTTAGTTTCAGAGAAAGAAGACCCAGCAATCACCTGGCATTCTATTCTACTCTAGCACTAACTGCCAACTTTTACCTTTCAAAAGAACAAAACTTTCCAGTTGTACTTTCCTTTTGTTCTCTTCAACAAGAAATACAAAAGTCTTTGTACGCTACCAGATGTGTTACCTTAAAAACTTGGCTGCGTGGCGTCTTGTTTCCATTGTAGCCCATGTCATTGCCAGTGTTTGGTGATGAAGGCCCCAGGCGGAACACATGGCAGAAAATACGAACAATTCTCAGCAGACTCTTCATCTGCGCTTCATAACTGCTAGACAGGCTAAGAAAAAAAGACAGGAAATAAACACACCTTAGCACTGATTAACTATTGTAGTAGCTTGTAACAAATGCATGAACCTGGATAAGATGCAGTGTTTGTTGGTCTCCTTGTGCTGGGTCTTTTCTTGCTTTATATCTATACACCTTTAAATAACTCTGAGTTACTGAACAGCCTTTTTCATGACACTCAAAATTGAGCTCAGGTGCATCCTGTTTGGAACCACCTTGGACCTTGGACTAGAGCAAAAAATTCATCTTTCAACAGGAGAACAACCCTAAGACAGCCACGATAACAAAGGGTGGCATCGAGACCACTCCGTGTGTGCCCTCTGGGCCCCAGCCAGAGCTCAGACTTGAACCTGCCTGAAAATTCTAGAAGGATCTGAAAATGGCTGTGCACTGATGCTCCCCATACAAGCTGACAGAGTTTGAGAGGTTCTGAAAAGAATAATGGGAGAAGAAATTGCCCAAAAATAGGTGTGAAAATATCCAAAAAGGCTAGACATCCATCAATTTGCTTCCGCTTATCCTTTTCAGGGTCGCGGGGGTGCTGGAGCCTAACCCAGCTGTCATAAGGCAGGAGGAGGGGTACACCATGGACAGGTCGCAGGGCTAACACACAGACATAGACAATCATTTGCACTCACATTCACACCCCACTAACGGCATATCTTTGGACGGTGGGAGGAAGCCGGAGTACCCGGAGGGAACCCACGCAAGCACGGGGAGAACATGCAAACTCCACACAGAAAGACACCGAATTGAACTCTGGACCTTCTTGCTGTGCGGCAACAGTGCTAACCACCGTGCCACCGTGCTGCCCTTAACAGACAATTGCTTTTAATTATTGCTATGTTTATACTCAGTGGCTTAACTATCCTTGAGACATGTATGGGAGTTGATGTGAACACACTTGTGCTAATCTGACTATTTGAACCAAGTCTGGAAAATCTAGCCATAGATGAGAGCAAAAGGTTAAACCCATTTATAAAACCGTGTCTGTTCCCACTACATGAAAAGAATCCTTATAGACTATAGTGAATCAAATACTCCAGCAAGCATGAGTCAGGAAGGTGACCAAGATCCCAACAGTGATATCTTCTTCTGACCAAGTTAATGGCTGAGTATACATAAGTATACATTCTCTTAATGATAAACACATTTAAGTCCAAGAATTCTATCCCTACAGCAAGGTATATTCTGCTATAGAGGTCCTTCTCCACAACACAGAGAGTGAAACTGGTCACTTAAAGAAAGAAGGAACACACGTCAAATACAGCAAGCTTCTTAAAAGGTTTTTCTTTCAGCATGATAATGACCGAAGGTTCAGGGCAGCGCTTGCATCAACCACTAAGCCAGCATTAGCACAACTCTCAGCTGCTGTGTTCTTCTCAGTTTGTCTTTTTACTTTGGACATTTTTCCCAGTGGAAAACAGTTGTCACACTTATTAAAGGCCTGAACGCGTACGTGTGTACCAGCAAAGTGGGGATTAGTAAGTGAGATTAAGAGAAGTTGAGCAGGACCAAGTAGCCGACATGCCTTACCCCACTGTCAGAAAACACAAGTTCCCGCTGGTACCTTTCAACCTCGCACACTAACTCAGGATCCTTCCCTACCAGGGAGGTGACATTCCATGTCCCAATCGATTTGGGGGATCGGTTTGCAAGGGCTGCCGCCCAACACACATTGCACCCAACCTGTATGGCGCCTCCTGCGGGTGGTGGGCCTACAGGAGGATGGGCCCATGTCTCTGTCTGTTACCAGTTTCAGTTAGAAGCATAGATTCCAGTTTATTAATAATAATGTTGTAGTTAATAATAAATTCATTTTTTCTAAGACCTAACATGAGGAAGATTAAGTTTTAAATTACAGCGACACATTGACACACTGTGTTTAATGGGATAAACTGTCCAGATTTTGGTGAAACATACTCAAATATATGTAATTTTACCTGAGAAGCTTGTGTCCATTGGTGGTAGCCACTTCTGCAAGACTGGTCAAGATCCTGTGGTAATGACTATCACTCTGCTGAGAGACATGTTCCAGAACCTGTCTGAGCTACACAAACACAAACACTCGTAACTAATCTAAAGTATAAAATAGATTTCTGTGTGACATCAGATACAAATTCTGATACCATGTTCTCTTTAATGTCATTATTCTGCGTCATCTGGATGAGGGTCAAGAACAGCCTGCTATGGTGCTGGATGAGAATCTCACAGGTTTCTCCATATCCTCCCTGAGGGCGGCAGAAAAAACTCAAAGCAGAGTAACACAAACCAAACGACGACAAAATAGGAAGAGAAAAAAAAATACTCAAAAATGAAACACTCACCTGCACACAGACATCCAGTGGAGTGATTCCATTGTTGTCAGCGATGTACTTGGCACCTCGAGAGAGAAGGATCTGGGCTGTGTCTCTCTGGCCGTGGCTAAAGAATAATGCAGGATGAGTTTCAATACAGCTGGATTCAAACGCAAAGCTAATCTGCTGGTGCATTTGTAATCCCGAAGACTCAAGATGAAGTGTAAAAGAGCTACGAGCACACTCAGTATCACTACTATTATTGTTATTATGACTGATGACATTACCTGCAAGCAAAGTAAAGAGGCGTTGCTCCAGAGACGTTTGGTCGGTTAATGTCAGCTCCACTTTCCAGAAGACAAAGCACCGTCTGAACAGATGTGATACATGCTCATATCACATACTGGAAATATTTATTATTAGAACGAGAAAACAGGAGCTCAGCAATCAGTAACACAACAGAACTGGTTTGCAGTGCACTGGGGATTTACGTTGCCAAATGGTTTCTAGATACTTCCTTTATGGCTGCAGATGTAATTTTCAGTCTGATGGAAGATTTCAGGTTTGAATTTCATTGAGAAAAAATGTTTATCAAATAAATGTCTAGGTATTTAGTATTCTACGCTATTGCGTGTTGAGCAACAGGTCAGACGTGTCTGCCATGGAATGAATAAGATGAGACCAGATGAGAAATCGATAGATTAGCTTTTGAATATGGCTTGTAAAATATTTACAGTTGTGTGATCTCCTACCTGGGTCCACCTGAGTTGTCCATAACAGAATACTCTGACCACACGTATGGACCCAGCAGATCGCGCAGACACTTCTCCCAACATGTTACTCCAGAAACACGAGGAGTCACTCTCCATGTTAACCCAATAGTTTCACAAATCAGAGAAATGGGCGATGAACGATGCGCTGACACTCGCTAGATTAGTTCTGCCGGTCCTGGCTAGTGCTCCCCCCCGCCCACAGCATCCGTTCCACAGACTCCCGGTTCTGACGGTGAACCCGCCCAGCTGGGTTGCTGCGGAAGTTTTCCCAGGAACCACAAGTAAACGAGCAGTCTGTGGTCTACTGGAGTGATAAGGCACTGTGAGGACTTTAAGGTAAGATGGGGCCTGATTATTCAAGATCTTGTTGAACCAAAGACAATATACTGAACAAATGAACGAAGATGCAGACAATCATGCACACACCTGGAGCAAGTAATGTGATTACTAAGAGGCTGCTAAAGCTGACATGTGCTGTTTTGATCCCTGTGCACTAACAAGCAGTTTATATATGTAATTAAAAAGGTTGCTTCTAATTTGCTTACTGTTTTGTGTCCGTTTTGACAGGCTACATGTAGCGCTGTCTGGCCCATGGCGTCTTCAACATCCACATTGGACACATGCTGGACCAGATCATGCAGGAGCTCTGTTCGCCCATTTACTGCTAACCAGTGGATCTACATTAGAGGTTACAGTGTCACTATCTCAACTACAGGAGTTCATTAAACATCAATCATTTATGATTTACCAAGAGGATTCAAGTCAACTCACAGCAGTCAGGCCTTCATTGTTACAGATATTGACGTCAGCATTATATTCCAACAGTTTCCCCATACACTTCTTCTGTCTGAGGGAACAGTACAGGAAATGGTTTAGTGTCACTGGGCCTCATTTACTAATATTTACAAGGAAATGTTCTTACCCCGTGCAAAAAATGTATTTGCACATTAACATGCATATGTTAATAAATCAGAATCTTTTGGGGCCAAGAGCCTTGTACAATCTGCACATTAGGGGTGGCTGTAGCTCAGGAGATCTAGCAGGTCATCTAATAATTGGAGGGTTGGTGGTTCAATCCCTGCTCCAGTCTACATGCAATGTATCCTTGGGCAAGATACTAACCCCGAGTTGCTCTCAGATGCATCCATTGGAGTAGGAATAGATTAGAAAGCACTTGCATGGAAAAAAAAGTATTGACATGAATGGATGGAATAGGCAAGTTGTATAAAGTGTTCTGATAGAGTAGAAAAGCACTATATAAGAACATGTCCCTCCATTTCTTTATATAAGGAAACACATTTTGCTCCAGGCGAAGCAGAAAAAGTTGTAAGAGTGAACCCTGCACCTCTAAGGCTTCATTTAGATTTCTGCCAGTAATCTACATTGTAACATTGTAACAGGAAACCCTACATCATGAGCTTCGACGTAACCCGAACTGCAACACCTGAGAAATGTGACTACATGTTGGGTTGACGTGGCCCCAACTGTTGTGATCGACCATCTTCCTCCTGTGCACTTCTGGCTTCTTTTATTCTGCAGGTTTGTCAGTGAGAGAATAATCAAGCTACGGTTAAACAAGGTTAGCCTGCACTGTTCCATGTAGTGTTTTGGTTTCTTTACATTCATTTTTTGTTTTATTATAATGTTGAATCTTTTGTGGCTTGTTTTATAAAAGTGTAATTAGACTAAAAGGTAAAAATAAAAATTTATATTGTTACAAATGTTAACAACAATAATAGCAATGTTAGTAACAATATTAGTAGTAGTAGGATTTATTTTAAAGACTTGCGTTTAAATTGAGAAGGCAGCCAGGTTAACATTTGCTCACATGGATGATCAGAGGGACTGTTTCTAAAGCACAAATAGATTCTGGTATGAAATATTGATAAATCGCTGATTTATGCTTGAAACGCTTTAATACATGACTTGACCACAGATTTGTGGTTGTCATTGGTCTTTCATCAGCCTTTCTGTTTTACAGATTTAAACCCCATGACTCAGATTTTGCCATCTTAAGGTCCATCGACTAGAAGTAAATATGCATAAAGATAAAGGCTTATGAAAAAGAAAAAGAAAGTGATTCATCCAGTTTCTTCAGTTCCACTCAGCATTTCATAAACAGTCCTTACAGCACCAATCCCAAAAAGTTGATTCAGACTGAAGACGTCACTTGACAACACCTGAACTTTGTAAAACACAAAAAGAAACGTCATGATTTATTTTAACATTAGGTAGTCAGCTTATCTATAATAGAAAACAGTAGGTTGATGGTTGGTAGCACTGAGAAGATTGCAATTCGAAATCTCTCATGAAGCTCCACCTAAACGAACAGCATGATGAGAAACAAAGTGTCCTGTAACACATGAGCTAAAAGTCCAGTATTGAGACACCCTGACATGAACAAAGGTGTATTGTGGTAAATATAACAAGACAACATATCAGAAATGAACATATAAACAGATTAAATACAGCAACACACCCATTCCTGGCAGCAAGATGCAGAGGGGTGCAGCCTGAGATGTCCTGATAGTTTGGATTGGCTCCTCTCTTTAGCAGCAGCACCAGACACTCCAATGAGCCACAGCTGTACACAGAAAACAGCGTATTTAGTGCAGAACAACAGACTAGGCAACTCTCTGCATGTACACTGAATGAGAGACTGTTTGTCATCTGTTTGACAAACTTGTGATTGTGGTACGTTACTTTTTTAGATCTTTTTCACTCTGTCAGAACGACTCATGATTTAAGAAGCGGGACAAAGTTGTTTGGACTTTATAAATTATAAATTAAGAGGGGAAAATACTTTTTCACTGCACTGTATTTCACTGAGCAAGCACCATTACTAGGAAATGTGCAGACGTAAAGTGGGAACTACTTATGGCCTTGGTGTTACTTTTTGATTCCACTAAATGCTTACCAGAGATTGAACCAGTGACAGCAAGCTGGACAGGTTTCTGCTAGCATCACATTAACAGGACTTACAGCACAACTTATTCCACAGTTTAGAGTTTATTTTGAAACAGAAATCGTTTAAAAAGGACTACTTTAAAGAACTCTTTGAAAATATTCAGCAAAGTAAGTAACTACGAATTGAATGTCACAGTTACATTTGTGATTACAGCTGTAAAGTCTCTCTTACTTGGCTGCGATGTGTAGCAGACTCCTCTTCACTCGTCCAAAAGCATAATTCACATCAAACTTGGAGTTGAGCAGCAACTCTGACACTGATCTGAGGGAGGAGTGAACATGTAAAAACATGTCAATCCTTCTGCAGCCGTAGATTAGATGTGCAGTGGCAAGTATACTACTGCCTAAAGTAAGCAGACATACCATAATATACGTTTCCATCTAATGCACAGTGAGCCAAAACGAGCACATAAATAAAAGTGAATGAATTAGTGATGAGTACAGTCTGCTCCACGTGTACCTGTGCTGGTCTGCCATGACCATTGGCATGAGTGTGTACACCGCTGTCTCATTGTCTGTGGTGAAAATAATGCAGAAAATATCAGTGAAAGCTAACACCTGACAAAGACATTACGATTTATTAGCAACGATTCATCAAGGAATTTGAATGACTTGATTACAAAAATCAATTGTTTCCTACTGGAAAATGGGTAAAAGGAACTTTATTTGATGTCTTAGTTTAATTGCATGTATACCTTTTTATGTGACATTACTGTACTGAGACCGTTTATTTGTTTTCTCATTTAGTACAACATTTACTTGAAAAGCTTTCGTTTTAATATGACGTGTAACATACCAGGGGAACACCACTGGAGGGATAAAACAATCCTTCCAAAAACATTCACTTGTGTCTAACACAGTCCAACATGTCCCAGAGGAGTTGAGCTGGGCTGGAATTAGGTGACTGAAACCATTAGCACATGACCGACATCGTTTTCATCCTCGTGGAACCGTTTAGCCTCGACAGGCTCGGCGTCAGCTGTCATTGCTCACGTTAAAGCTAGGAAAGGTGAGTGATATTCCATCATGAACAACAAAAAAGGTTTACTTAAATAAAGTTCAGAGCGAGGTCATCAGCAAATTGTTGTTTATTTCCCCTCAAAATCATTTGTTTCACTACATGTATTTTACCTAGTCGCCTGCCAAACCAATCATGAACAGCACAGCTCTGAGTGGCACAAAGCACCTGTTACCTTGGAGAGACAGTAGTTGATGCCTGCATTCACCCTCTCACTCACGTGAGAAACAGCTGTTCATCTGGGGTTTTGTTTATTTTATTTTTTTCATTTCAGTTTTACTTATATGGCGCCAAACCACAACAACTCTCAATTCGAGGCACTTTATGCCCCGAGTATTTTTTTTCCAGGTGCCTCTTTTCAGTCCTGATGTAATTACCTCTGTCCTTTGCATGTCATTAACCTGACTGTACTTTACCTGATGCTTCTACTTTGTGTTTGGTCCCATTTGCTGTTTGTGGGCGCTCTGTCCTCTCCTTCCCTTGGCTCTCAAAAGGCCACAGCAGCTGGCTGCCCTCCCTACACCTGCGTTTGCTGGAAGTCTCCTCCTGTTTCATCTGATTGCTGCGGATTCAGTGTAAAATCTTGGCCACACGACATAAAGCGCGTTGAGAGAACTGTTGTTTTGAAATTGCGCGTTATAAATAAAACTGAAATAAAAACCTGAATTTTGTGTCATTTTGAATCTTTACAAAGGGAAACTACGTTTTCCAAGCAGCATTGGTGCCTGCACCGATCAACACACACACGTAATAACTGATGGGGAGATCACTTTTGTCCATTATCTAATAAATGAATGCTCGGTCATACTGCATCGCTACCTTCCGGGAGTTCCACGGTCCTGGCCCGGCGAAGAGACCGGGTCAATCGACTGAGCTGTACGTTGAGCTGCTCCATCGCCCGTTCCATCATAGATGGACGGTCCACGGGGTTAAAACTCGGGGGAAAGCCTTGGTCGTGGGGTCGGTATCTTTCTAATGCGGTTGTGTTGTTATCTGGTGTCTTCCATTGGCCAGACTGTACACAATGATTTATGAAGCTGTTATTGCCATATTCCACACTTCCTGTTGTGATGACGGTCAAACGCAATGCACTATGGGTGCATTTTGCTGTGAACCGGAAGTATCTGCGTGGCGACAATAATCAAGGAGAAGGGTCTGGCTGCAGCCACTGGCTGGCTGTGTCCCAATTCAGGGTCTGCACGCTTGAAGTACGCGCACTACGCGTACTACGTACGGTGCGTACTATAAGTACGAGAAGTGCGGAAGTGAGAGGCTTGTAAAATGGGACGGTATACGCTTCGTCGCGCTGTTCAGGTTGCCTAGCAACCATGATACTAACCGCGACACACGTTACATACAGCTTTGTTTGACAGAAATGAAGGAGAAAAATGTTTTGTTGGTCATTCATTTTTGTCATGACATCACTTTGATTAGCTGAGTATCTGAGGCTGAGACCACAGGACTGTAAACATGATTGTTGGGCTTCATGTCTGTGCTGAACAGTCATTTAAGATTAGCTAGTAAACAACAATTAGCTAATGTTGCTCATGAGACTAAAGTCATCTCACTGTGGTAATGTAAATATAATATGGCCAATATTATATATATATATATATATATATATATATATATATATATATATATATATATATATATATATATATATATATATTACAGCAGTGAGCCAAAGATTCAAGTTGCAGTTATTCATATATAGTTATCACCTTAAATCTTCAGTCAAAGACAAGTATCTTTGACAGTGTATATACAGATGTATTATGCATAAGAGACAAATATATTGTTCTTTTAATACGTTGACATTATTACATTTGGCTCAATGCTTACATACATGTGTAAAAAGGAAAATGTACGAGCTGTGATAACTGTGTCTGATAGAATGAAGAGTAGACTGATATATTAAATATTCCTTTATTGGGTGAGAAAATCAGACCATGTCATAACTGCTGTAAGTCGCACAGAATAGATATCAGTAAGTAACGTATTCTGAATACTTTGGAATACTTAATATATTATCATGCTTTTTACAACAACGTGAATGTACTATTGCTGTGATTTATTACTGTTACTGAAGGTCCGCGACTCCGAACTGCAGTAAAGGGACCTCTGGCTAATACGGCGGGGTCCCTGTCGGCTCGTAGCCGAAAAATAGCTTTACTTTGTTTTATTTTTATTTATTATTTATTTATTTTTGTTTTTTAACTCAAAATGTCCTGTTGTAACTGGACTTTTTGAGTTAAGAAACAGAACAAATCCCAACAACACTTCCCTCATGGTGCTTTATATTGTAAAGTCAGACCCTACAATAATGCACAAAGACTCCAACCCCCTAGAGCAGGCACTTTGGCGACAGTGGGAAGGAAAAACTCACTTATAAAGAGAGAAACCTCCGGCAGACCCAGGCTCTGGGATGGGGTGGCCATCTGCCTCGGCCAGTTGGTGATGAGGGAAGGAAGTTGGGAAAAAAGAGTAGTTATTTTTAACCACTCTGGTTTCAAAATTACATTTAGAAAGCCCAATTGAAATGAATATTTGAAGCCAATTTAAGAGTTTTCTCACATAATCACATGCACGTGTTGGTTAGACTTTAGCGTGCACATGAGAAAGCCCTAAAGATGATGTTTTGGCTCCTCAATTTTGCATGTTTTTTGAAGCTGCTGACGATTGCTTCATCCATTACTGGGTTTCTTGACCACATTAAGAGTACTGGAGAATCCCACCTGTCATGGAGTTCATTGTATATTGTCAGGGCGAGTTCTCCAATGTTCTCCAAGGACATTTTGTACTTTTTTGACAAGATTTTGTTCCAGATCTTCTGGAAAAGCCTCTCTGCAATGAACTCGGATGCTACTGGATTCATTGTCATCGTCTCATTTCCTTCGCTGATGGCGTGCATTACCAGATCTTTGGTCACATTTTTTACAACTTCCTTGTACTCTTGCCTGTCTTTAGAGACACTGAGTACTCTTGCTGGTAATGCCAACAGGTGTTTGGTGAAGATTGAGACGGTAATATTGTCAAGCTGTTCCCTCAGATTAAAGATCAAAAGGTTTTCTTTGCAGTTGTGTGTTTTGCAAAGATCTTTGAGAATGGCCTTGCCCACTTTGAAAATGCTGTTGTGGGATAAATTCAAGTGTTTCTCCTCAACTTCAGGCCAGATTTTCTCAATCAGACGACGGCTGATGCAGTTAGGAGTGAGGCGCTCTGTGAAGATCTTGTATTTGGAGGAGACTTTTTCTTTGGCCAGTAAAACCACCAACTGAACAACCCAGTTGACGCGCACCTTTTTCTGCAGCTTCAGTGTCTTTTCCAAAGCTGATACTTCAGCCTGGTTGGTCTCATCTTTGAATACAAACTGCACTTCTTCT